TGTTTTTCCCTGTGTCTGTCCACCGCCGCACTGCTTTGTATTTATTTATTCTTTGTGGCAACTTCCTACCTATATTGCCCAAAATGAACAAACAAAAGGTCTGGGAGTCAGCATGCTCCCTGAAGACTGTTCTGCTCTGGGACAACCAACCAAAACAACGATGAGCAAACTCAGGTGCTTGGCCGGAACCGCCAACCAATCAAGACGGTTGGGAGTCGAAAATGTTAATTGTCTTTTTATTTTATTTTTTATCTATTTAACATACAAATGTGCAGTCGTCTTTAAGAAAGGGGGCTCCGGCGATACAAAGGTTGCCTGGGGAAATACAGAAATAGGAAAGACTGCCGGCGGTGGAGCCGTTCGAACCCGGGACTTCCAGGTTACAATTAGGTGGCCTAGCCAATTGGCCACCAGCGCCTGTCCAACCACAGCAATCCAGTGAACCCATTGTTTGGTGCCTACAATTCCCTGTCCTCAATTTTTCCTATAAATAACCATAATTTTTACATAATAAATGAGATCCTACACGCTTCCAGCGCTTCTATTTCTGTTTTGTATCGCCAAACTATCACTGAACATGGTCCCATGATGCATATTCGAAAGATCCCAATTAAAATACAGTTGCAAATAGCTTAAGTCGTTATCGGTAATGCCAGCGAAACGTGGATTGAAAAAGCGAGAAATGTGCGGTATTATATATGGGTTGAGCACAGCCTAGTCAATTGTCTAGTATCGGAGTTATGAGGGCCCCGATGAACAAATCGCACAAAACAGGTTACCATTCTCTGTTCGTTGTCCTGACGACTACGTATCCAGAACCCTCCAGAGAACGGCTACACATTCTCGCAGTGGCGGCTGATCCCAGTCCGTTTCAAATTCAAGCCGCGAGAATTCTCAGGGAAGGTTAGGCTTCCTCCTGACAATCGCACTGCGGATGGAGTTCCTATCTGAACGAGAAAAAGTTCCCGGAGGATGATCCAATGAGAATCGAGCACCGAGTAAAATCCCATGCAGTTGTACCACAAAAGGATAAATTATCATGGACGAGACGTGGGCGAATTGGAGGAAATCACCAGTTTGTTTAAGGATTGGACATGATTAAGAGGCACGGAACAATGAAGAAATCGCTTTTCTTGACCTCACGTTTTCCATTCTTCTGAATGGGAGTCTTCCATAAAATCCTCTTCTCATTACTTCTAGCCATCGAGGTTTCTCTAGTAAATTCTTACCAATAGATGGTCCAACAGGACCAAAAGGATTAAAGAAATGCAAAAAGTGTGTTGAACCCCTCAAACAGAACCATATAAGCCCGATCCCACTGAGGACTCACCCTTCCCCGAAGTCGCACTGATGATGTTGCCTAGCTTGGCTACGAAACAACACTTCCAGTTCACATAACTCACCAACACCAATGTAATGGGCGGTTTCTCCCAACTTTAAAAAAACGGACAAGAACTAGACCGAGTTACTCTGTTGAAAAATGGTAACTACTGTCCGTTCCATTCATCATACTGTGTGCTGGTAGGAATTTTGATGACATGTTCCCAGTGAGACGTCGTGTTGCGCGTATATCACTTTNTCCATACCCACACTGTTTTTCCTTAGCTCAGAAGAAGCATAGCAATAGTAAATCCCATGATGATCTAAATCCAAATATACAGGCATCAATTATATTGTCTTCCACGAGAATCGGATCCCAATTGCTCTGGACACATCATCACAGTTTCATATACCGACTTTTGTATGATTGTAAGTGCGGATGTGCACCAAAAGAGGATTTCAGTTGGTATTCATGCTGTCAACATCGCATCAGTAGTGCACTGCGCCTGCACTTTGCATTCGTTTACCTTAAGGTGATCTGCCGCCTAAATTTACCATTCTCAACTTATGTGATCTGTACAGTAGTAGGCTGCAAGTCAATACGAAGTAGAAAGTCAACCAGCAGTTTGATATTTTACTTCCAAACGATAAAATAATCATCTTGTAGTGTGATTACTTCTAAAGAATTTGGGAACAGGGGAACTACACCTAGTGTTAGGTGGCACTTAATCTCATATCCCAGACCTTGGTGCCAGTCCAATCCCGCTCAGTCTCGTTTTTCCGATATCTTTGCCAGTATATCACCTGAGAGAATAAG